GCGTCCTGGGTGCACTTGGGTTCCCAAAACCTTTCTGGAATGTCACTGTGGTCACCGGTATCAGAGGGATTTCCACCTCTAGGGGGTAGTAGCTGTCTGGTAATGTTCTCTTTGTAAAACTGAAGTGGGCAATGTTGACCAGGAAGCCGATTTTGTTTGCTTTTCACGAACGATGTTAATCGATCAATAGATGGGTTATAGATCATTATACTGTCAGCAAAGAGCTTTAGGATGGCAGGGACTCAGGGAAGATACTGACACTTCAGCCCTAAATGTCTATGGTCTGTCCTCTCTCGTTTAGCACACAGGACATTGCCCGGGAGCTGAACATGGGCTTGTAGCTCAGTGACTGAAAGGATGGCTTTCGGAGTCCTGAAATCTGCTCTGCCACTACTATTTGACTTTGAGTTAATTGTTTAACATTACTTTAAGCCTCAGTTTCTTCTTTTCTAAAATGAGGACGATTTTTTATTTTATTTTTGAGAAAGGGTCTTGCTCTGTTGCCCAAGCTGGAGTGCAGTGGTGCCATCTCAGCTCACTGCAGCCTTTGCCCACTGCAACTTCTGCTTCCCCGGCTCAAGTGATTCTCCTGCCTCAGCTACCTGAGTAGCTGGACTACAGGTGTGCACCACCATGTCTGGCTAATTTTTGTATTTTTAGTAGAGGCGGGGTTTCACCATGTTGCTCAGGCAGGTCTTGAACTCCTGGCCTCAAGCGATCTGCCTGCCTCGGCCTCCCAAAGTGCTGGGATTATAGCATGAGCCACCGCGCTCAGCCTACTATTGTCATTTATAAGTTCAGTGTTGGAAGGATTTTTAAGCAATCTAACAGTTTCTACTGCTCATTTTCCAGATGAGGAGATAAAATCAAAGTTTTTTTTAATAATTTTGGCCTTCACAATGTACCTTTTGGCTTCAATAAATAAAAGGATGATTGACCAAAAACCTAATACTTTGAGTCAGAATGATTCAAGTTTGCAAAAGCAGATAGAAGTCAGCGTAAAGCATCAAACAGTCTTGTAAGATACCCCAAATCCATGTATCTTCAGTAAGATCAGATAGAAGCACAACATGGGAATGAACACAAGCCCCAGCTGGGGTCTTGGGCTTGGTGAAAACCAGGGCGTCTGCGCATAGCTCACTCAGGAAGTATGTCCCAGAGGAAGAAGAATTCATTGAAGAACATGTGCAGAGATGAGTAAAACTACAAGCAGGGCCATGTCTTTGGCTTCCAAATGGCCAACTGACCTCCTGGCCTTGGTCATACAAGCCTAGGCACGTGTGGTGACCATAGAAACCTACCAGAAAATGTCATTCTCCTAGGAAAGATGTCTGTCTTAGGGGTGAGTGGGCTTGAAGGATGAGTTGCAATGCCGTAAGAAATCCTGGAATCTGTATACTACGTTCATTCACGGTGTGTTTTAAACATTCCTCTCTCAGATCCTGTGTTGCAACAGATGAGAATGATCGTTTGTTTTAGTTGGATTGGGTATAAAGGACTTAATGTTTTAGAAAGGAGGGAGGTGCTGCAGGCAAGAGGGAGGGCATGGCGGGTGGGAGGGGGTGGGGGTGGTTGTGGAAGTCCTTTAGGAAGCTCCAAGTACAAGAAACGTGAGGCTTCAGTGAGGGACCTCGTGACCTTGATTTAAATCCTAATTTGTTTTATTTTTTAAAGGAAACTTTTAACTGGAGAATAGCATCTTAGAAAAGTTGCACAAATCATAGACAAACAGCTGCTGTGATTTTAATTTTATTTGGAAAGTGAAATTCAAAGTGCTTCACAAACATATGGTATCAATCCCTTGTTCTCTGCAAAGACACTGACCTCCTTCCCTTCCTCACCCCTCGGCCACAGCTCCCTCCCTGACTTTCATGGTCTCTACTACTGCATGGGCTCAGCCTAGAGGAGTATGTTCATTCTGGGTTTATTTAATTTCCAGGGCAGAAGTTCTTCTATACCGGCATGTGTGTAGCATCACCAGGCTCCATGTACAAAAAGTGCAATGCTCAGACCCAACACTGCCTGAGATTCTGATACAATAATCCTGGGCAGGGCTGGAGTTTATTATTATTTTATTTTTTAGAGATAGGATCTTGCTCTGTCGCCCCAGCTAGAGGGCACTGACGCAATCATAGATTACGGCAGCCTCAGACTCCTGGGCTCAAGCAATACTCAGCCTCCCAAAGTGCTGGGATTACAGGTGGGAGCCACTGTACCCAGCCCTGGCTTGGAGTTTATGACAAGTACCCCAGGGAGTTCTGATATAGAAGGAGCAGCCAACACTGAGAAATGCTTTACTCTCCTGCACCCAAGATCGAGATAATCCCTGACAACCTGCAAGATTAGACTACATCACAGTTTTTCTCTTGTGATGGGGAGGCAGGGAAGGGTGTGCTAGAAGAGGTAGTGAGCTCAAGATGGAACTCTGTGTGAGTTTTTCTAACCACAGCTTGAATCTTCCAGGTGGAGCCACTCAGTTCTCATTTACTTTGCCCTGCTCGGGAGCACGATCTTGAGTTCTACTCACGCCTATGAAGGCGAGGCTGGCTGCTTGGTTTCTGGGGAAACCAAGCCTGGGGAAGCTGCCTTGGCTGGCTAAAGCCCTTAGCTGTTATGCTAATCTGGCAAGAGAAGTCGAGCAAAAAGAACAGGGTAGCAGGTTTGTTTTCCTTCCCAATGGAAAAGAGCTTCAGGCATGATTTTCTTAGGCTTTGGAACAGAGATGCCAGCTGGTTTATAATGAGGCCTGTGCCCTCCCTGGTGAGTGGACCCTCAGCTTGAGGGAGTTTTGCTTCTTTTATTTTGTTTTTGAAATTTGAGATTTTTTTCATTTGAGATTTTTTTCATGTGATTTCTTAAATGAAAATCGCAATATACTTAAATCACAAGTATGCTTATTTAAACACCCAATCCTAATGATCTAAAACAGACTTTGCAAAATACAAATATCTATTCTCTCCACATATCCACACCCATTCAGATCATGGTTTGGAAATGGGGAGATTAGAATTCCCTTAAACTGCAAGTCAGCAGGTGTTTCTTTATGGTTAATGTTAACAAAACATATGCGAAACAGTAATTGACAATGGTCTTCTTTATTAATTAACTCACAAGGAAACACCTTCAAAACTATTTTGTTAAAGTGTCTGTACAAAAATGTAGAGAAACTGAACTATATACATACTGAAAAGTTAAAAGTTCCTTAATTTTTTATTCTTGATATCACTGCCACAATTTACTGGGCAATATACCCGATGTAATGAAAAGAAAAAGGAAAAGCCGCAGCAGATGAAAGGCGGTGGGGATGTGCATCTAGCCAATGCTACATTACATTGCTTTATCAATAGCTGCACTTTTTGTAAACTGTGGCTGTAACAGTCCTGAACAAGGAGCGTTTTCTGTTTCAGCGGCAGTCACTTTTCTAATGGATCAGCGTTCCTTCCATGGCAGATTTTTTTTTTTTTGAGACGGAGTTTCGCTCTTGTTACCCAGGCTGGAGTGCAACGGCGCGATCTCGGCTCACCGCAACCTCCGCCTCTTCGGTTCAGGCAATTCTCCTGCCTCAGCCTCCTGAGTAGCTGGGATTACAGGCATGCGCCACCACACCCAGCTAACATTTTGTATTTTTAGTAGAGACGGGGTTTCACCATGTTGACCAGGATGGTCTCGATCTCTTGACCTAGTGATTCACCCGCCTCGGCCTCCCAAAGTGCTGGGATTACAGGCGTGAGCCACCGCGCCCGGCCCATGGCAGATTTTTACGGTTCCTCTAATGCATTTGGGATGACTGTTTCAAGGTAACTTGCTGCTTTCCTGAAACTTCTCGTTCTTTCTCCTGCTAAGAACTGTAGCCCTTTTCTGCCTTTTTTATATTTTTGGAGACAGAGTCTTGCTCTATCCCCCAGGCTGGAGTGCAGTGGCACTCTCTTGGCTCACTGCAAACTCTGCTTCCTGGGTTCAAGCAATTCTCATGCCTCAGCCTCCCAAGTAGCTAGGATTACAGGCATCCGCCACCATGCCCAGCTAATTTTTATATTTTTAGTAGAGATGGGGTTTCACCATGTTGGCAAGGCTGGTCTCAAACTCCTGATCTCAGGGGATCCACTCACCTCGGCTTCCCAAAGTGCTGGGATTATAGGCATGAGCCACCATGCCCCGCCTCCTTTTCTGTTGTTTTTAGAAACTTCTGCTGCCATATCCACCATTTCCATCACCAGATCCATAACCATCACCATGGGAACTGCCTGAGCTTCTTCCACCAAAACTGCCCCCTTTCATGGGTTCATAATTTGATCACTGTTTCCAAGATCATTATAGTTCCCACCACCACTATTTCCTCCTTCATTGTAACCGTCATATCATCCACCACTGCCACCATATCCACTAACTTGGTTTCCACATCCTGGTCCACCACCAGCATGCTCCCTCTACTGTTGTGACCAGTATCACCACCTTTAGTTGCTACCATCACCTCCAAATCCATTCTATCCACCATCACCTCCTGTGTAACTACCTCTGCTGCCATCACCTTCACCGCCATAACCTCCTTTCCGCCACAGCCAAAATGATCTCTACCACCTCCGAAGTTTCCTCCATGACCAGCCAAGTTGCCAGATCCAATTCCATGACCTCTTTATGACTCAGAAGACTCCATGTCAATTAGTTGTTTTTTTTTTTTAATAAAGACGGGGTTTCACCATGTTGGTCAGGCTGGTCTTGAACTCCTGACCTCAGGTGATCTGCCCACCTTAGCCTGCAAAGTGATTGGATTACAGGCGTGAGCCACCATGCCCAGCTGACTCCTTGTCATTTAGAAAGGACCCTTTTTACTTCACAATTATGCCCGTTAATGGCATGGTGTATCTGAACAAGAATTTCATCGGTTGTTTCATGATCATCAAAAGTTACAAGAGCAAATTCTCTCTTTTTTCCGCTCTGCCTGGCTTCCATAACTTATTTATTTATTTGTTTATTTATTTAGAAACGGAGTCTCACTCTGTCACCCAGGCTGGAGTGCGGTGGCATGATCTTGGCTCACTGCAACCTCCACCTCCTGGGTTCAAGCAATTCTCCTGTCTCAACCTCCCAAGTAGCTGGGATTACAGGCATGTGCCACCATGCCCAGCTAATTTTTGTATTTGTAGTAAAGATGGGGTTTCACCATGTTGGTCAGGCTGGTCTCAAACTCCTGAGCTCAAGTCATCTGCCCACCTCAGCCTCCCAAAGTGCTGAAATTACAGGCATGAGCCATGGTGCCTGGTCCATAACTTCTATGATTTCAATATTGTCACACTTTTCAAAGGAGTCTTTCAAATTATATTCTTCTGTATCTTCCTTCTTATCCCCCAACAAACATTTTCTTCACTGTTGGATTGGCTCCAGGCTTTACAGAACCCTCTCTAGAAACAACTGTCTTTGGTCCGCTACACGCCCATCACACTTTGCTATGTGGTTGAACACACTTTGCTGCACAAGTGTAAGTCACAAAACCAAAACCCCTGAGATGGTTTGTTTAGGAGTTTCTCATTACCACACAATCTGTGGGTATGCCCCATTCCTCAAAATGTTGGGCCTCTGTAGTTTCAAAGCTTAGGCCACCAATAACCAGTTTTCTCAACTGCCCTGATTCTGGTTGGTCATGGCTCTCTTCCCCGTCCCACCTTTGGCTGTAGCAGCAGACAGTGATGGCCCGAGTTGGGTTGGGGGCAACCAGGTGACAGCTTTACTTCCACTTTGAGGTTCTTTTCATTTGAAGGTAATCTTAATGCGATTAAAATTCACAAATATGCTAATATAAATAACCAATCCTATTTGGCTAAAATAGATTGTGTTCAACTCGAATTCACCGTGGGACAGAAGTTTTGCTTCTTTTAGGCTCCCTGTACCTATTATCAGGCACCTGACGGCTCTGAATCAGAGCATCTGACCCGAGGATCATCGGGTTCTGTGAAACATAAAGTTGTTAAAAGAAAAACCCCAGAAAGAAACAACCAAGTTTGTTTCTTGACTCCATGTGAATTTTAAATTTTTAAATTTTATTTTAGTTGGCGGGCATGGTGGCTCACACCTGTAATCCTAGAACTTTGGGAGGCTGAGGTGGGCAGATGGCCTGAGCTCAGGAGTTCAAGACCAGCCTGAGCAACACAGTGAAACCCTGTCTCTACAAAAATACAAAAACTTGGCGCACACCTGTAGTCCCAGCTATTCGGGAGGCTGAGGCAAAAGAATTGCTTGAACCCGGGAGGTGGAGGTTGCAGTGAGCCGGGATCACACCACTGCACTCCAGCGTGGGTGACAGAGCAAGACTCCATCTCCCCCCACAAAATAAAATAAACAAATTTTATTTTAGTTTCGAGGGCACATGTGTGGGTTTGTTATAAAGGTACATTGTGTGTTGCAAGGGTTTGAAGTACGAATTGTTTTGTCACCCAGGTGATAAGCATGATACCCAATAGGGAGTTTTTCAATCCTGATCCTCCCACCCTCCACCCTCAAGTAGACCCTGGTGTCTGTTGCCTTCTTTGTGTCCATAGGTACTCAATGTTTAGCTCCCACTTATGAGTGAGAACATGTGGTACTTGGTTTTCTGTTCCTGTGTTAGTTTGCTTAGGATAATGACCTCTAGCTCCCTCCTCAATGCGAATTTTTAAATCCCTTTATTCTGGAGAGAACCAACACTGTTGTGCTGTGGTTTCTTTCTGCTAATGCAGTGGTTCTCCAAATGTGGTCACCAAACCAATCACATCCCAGTGTCACCTGGGAGTGTGTTAGAAATAGACATTATTAGGCCCTGCTGCAGATACACAGAATCAGAAACTCTGGGGCCTGGGCCTGGGAATCTGTGTTTTAACAAGTCTGCTGGGTGATTCTGATGCACACTGAAGTGTGAGAGCCGCTGGTTTAATGAGGAAGCCTGTGGGAATACCTTCAATCAAACAGAGACTCTCAGATCAGCCAGGTAACTGATGGAAAGAGAAACTCTTGCTAATTGGTGGGGGTACAATTTTCTGGGGTTTTATTTGGTTCCCTATTGCAGTGGTGAGAAGATTCCTGTTGACCAGACATGAAGGAGATATACGTCCTGGAAATTAGGGGTGAGGGGGTGTTTTCATGGACTTTTCCAGAATGGAGCAAATCCACCTGGGTTTCATGGACCAAATCCATCTGAGGGGCAAGGATGGCAGAGAAACTGAGTCCCCATGCATCTCCAGATCAAGGGAGTCGAATGTTCCAAAGTACATTTGTTTAAAGGGTCAGCTTCTATGAGAGAGGAGTGTGTCTTGGTTTGCCCAGGACTTTTCCAGCTTTAGCACTGAAAGTCCCATATCCCTGGAAGCTCCCCAGCCCTGGGAAAACCAAGGCAGTTGGTCACTGGTCACTGCAGTTCAGAGACTGCCTGCTGGAATTACTTGGTGAGCTTTAAAAAATACTGACGCCTGGGCCCCCCTCCAGATAAAATTAGTTAGACTTATTCTGGATGTTTAGAAGTTCCTCAGGTGATCCTAATGCATCCAGGGTTAAGCTGTTGCTGCAGCTGCTTGCCTGCCATTTCTCCTATTAAAAAAAATAAAATATGGCCAGGTGTGGTGGCTCATGCCTGTAATCCCAGCACTTTGGGAGGCTGAGGCGGGCAGATCATGAGGTCAGGAGTTTGAGGCCAACATGGTGAAACCCTGTCTCTACTAAAAATACAAAAAATTAGCCAGGCATGATGGTGTGCACCTCTAATCCCAGCTACTCAGGAGGCTGAGGCAGGAGAATTGCTTGAACCCAGGAGGTGGAGGTTGTGGTGAGCCTGGGCGACAGAGCAAGACTCCATCTCAAATAAATAAATAAAACACAAAACACATACAAGTCAATAGTTCTAATGAGGTTGAACCCCTACCACACATTATATACAAAAATTAACTCAAAATGGATGAATGACCTAAATAGAAAGGCTAAAACTATAAAACACTTAAAAGAACATACGGTGGTAAATCTTCATTACCTTAGATGTGGCAATAGATTCATAGACATAACAAAGCATGAGTAAGAACAACAAAATAGACAAATTGGACTTCATGAAAAATAAAGACTTTTGTGAACAAAGGATATTATACAGAAAGTGAAAAGATAGCCCACAGAATGGGAGAAAATCATATATCTGATAATGGTCTAGTATTCAGCATATATAAAGAATTTTTATAACTCAGAAAAAGACAACCCAATTGAAAATGAGCTAAGAATTTGAATAGAAATTTCTCCAAAGAGGACATGTAAATACCAACAAGCACACAAAAAGATGCTTAGCCTCATTAATCATTAGGAGAATGCCAATAAAAACCACAAATGGGGCTGGGCGCAGTGGCTCAAGCCTGTAATCCCAGTGCTTTGGGAGGCCGAGGCGGGTGGATCACAAGGTCAAGATATTGAGACCATCATGGTCAACATGGTGAAACCCCGTCTCTACTAAAAATACAAAATGTTAGCTGGGTGTGGTGGCGCATGCCTGTAATCCCAGCTACTCAGGAGGCTGAGGCAGGAGAATTGCCTGAACCCAGGAGGTGGAGGTTGCGGTGAGCTGAGATTGTGCCATTGCACTCCAGCCTGGGTAACAAGAGTGAAACTCCATCTAAAAAAAAAACCAAAAAAAAAAAAAAAAAAACCCCACACAAATGATAGACCACTTCATGCCTACTAAGATGGATATAATAATAAAAACAATAATAATGGAAAATAAAAGTTGGTAAGGCTGTGGAGAAATTGGGACTCTCATACATTGCTGGTGCGAATGTAGAATGGTGCAACCACTGTAGAAAACAGTTTGGTGGTTCTTCAAAAAGTTAAGCATAGAATTACCATATGATGGCTGGCCATAGTGGCTCATGCCTGTAATCCCAACACTTTGGGATGCTGAGGTGGGTGGATCACTTAAGGTCAGGAGTTAGAGACCAGCCTGGCCAAAGTGGTGAAACCCTGTGTCTATTAAAAAATACAAAAATTAGCTGGGCATGGTGGTATGCACCTATAATCCCAGCTACTTGGGAGGCTAAAGCAGGAGAATCCCTTGAACCCAGGAGGCAGAGGTTGCAGTAAGTCAAGATTGTGCCACTGCACCCCAGCCTGGGAGAGTAAGACTCTCTCAAAAACAAACAAACAAAAAATTACCATATGACCCAGCAATTCTACTCCTAAGTATATACCCCAAAGAACTGAAAGCAGATACCCCAACAAATAGTTGTGCACAAATATTCATAGTAGCATTATTCACAATAGCCAAAAGAGAAAAACAACCCAGCTGTCTATCAACACATGAATGGTTAAACAAATTGTGGTATATCCATACAATGGAATATTATTCAGCCATAAAAAGCAATGAAATATTGATACATGCTACAACACGGATAAACCTTGAAAACAATATACTAAGGAAAAGAAGCCAGTTATAAATGGTCAGAGTAATGTATGATTCCATATATATGAAATATTCATAATAGGTAAATCCATTGAGACAGAAAGCAGATTAATGTTGCCAGAGGCTGGAGGAGGATGGAATAGGGAATGAGTGTCTGATAGGTGCAGGTTTTTCTTTTGGGATGATGAAACAGTTTTGGTATTAGGCAGAGGTGGTGGTTGCAGAGCATTGTTTACATGGCTAATTGTATGTTACATGGATTTCGCCTAAATCAAAAGAAAACCATCAGGTTACTCATATCTACAAAGTACAATTGAAATCAAGCTCTTTGTAAGTCTGAGTCCTCCACAGCTGGCCTTTAACTACACTCCCCCCTCCCTGTAGCCTATCGTCTATCTCTCTCCTACTACATGGAATCATGATACTACATGGAATCCTGTTGAATCCCAATGTGTCATATATGCTCTGCCTCTGCTTCCAAGCTCACCAGTGTGCTTTGGGAAGTCTCCACCAGCAATTCCAGCCTATGGTCCTCTCTCAATTCCAGTGGCTCTTAACTTTATGCCCTTGCCACTCAGAGCATAGGCCCTGCTTGTCATCCCCTGGGAGCTTGGAAGAAAGGCGGAATCTGGAGTTCCGCTGCAGACACACTGAACAAGATCTTCAAATGCTTTTAGGGCACATTAAAGTTTGAGAAGAACTGGGTTGTACTAGTTGGCCCCAAGTCAGGCTGTGGATCAGAATCAGTTGGTAAGCTACATTTGTGTATATTATATTCTTTCAATAATGCATGCACATAGTAATATTACAAGCTGTACATATACAAAAAAAGTGAAAAAAGTAAGTCTCTCTCCCATCTCACTTCCTCTGGTTTCCAGCCCAGAGGCTCTCTTAAAGTTTCTTGGGTATTTTTCCTCCTTCTATGCATATGCAAGCATATATATACATATGTATTTCCTGCCTTTATTTTGATTTTACACAAATGGTAACATACTGTACACACGGATTTGTACTTTTCACTCAACGGTGTATTGTCGAGATTATTTGAGCACATGTTGATCTGCCCAGTTTTCTTACTGACTACATAGCGGTCATTGTAAAGTTGTATAGTTGTAAAATATGTAATTTTTTATGTTAAAATCATTGGCTGGGGACAGTGGCTCACGCCTATAATTCCAACACATTGGGAGGCTGAGGCAGAAGGATTGCATGAGCCCAGGAATTTGAGACCAGATTGGGCAATGTGGTGAGACTCTGTCTCTAAAAAAAATTAAAAAATTAATTGGGTGTGGTGGCATGCATCTGTGGTCCCAGGTACTCGGAGGCTGAGACAGGAGGATTACTTGAGCCTGGGAGGTTGAAGCTGCAGTGAGCTGTGTTCCTGCCACTGCACTCCAGCCTGGGAGACAGAGCAAGACCCTGTCTCAAATCCCTGCCCCACTCCCCTTTCCCCTGCCCAAACCATTAAAGAACACAATATTGTTTATTACCACGTGCTATGGTAGCTGTCCTTTTCATATGTCTTTGAGTATATGATGTGCTGATATCTACAGGATTAAAGAATTGCCAATTATGTGCACTTTAAAGTGGTAAGGCATAGTGCCAAAATCCTCTCTAAAAAGAGGTACCAATTTATATTCTTGGAGAACTTTCAAAAACAGAAAATTTGAGGCTACTCTCCATTTTAATTCATGAGAACTCTGTGGGTAGCACCTGGGAATCTGCATTTTACTTCTTTGGGATTAAAAGAAATCTGCAGAATGGAGTGCAGAACCAGAGGGCAGATCCCCCTTAACCCCCAAGATGCTATTCCTCTTGGGCTACCTTGGGTTGCTATTTATCTATATGACTGCTCTATCTCCTCGCCACAGTAGAAGGTTCCTAACGACAGGCCTCAGGATTGCTGCCTCTTTATATTCTTACTTTGGAACAGTGCATTGTACAACAACGTTTGTCCATGATTGTCTGTGTCTCATATGATTTTTTTTTTTTTTAGTTCCATGGACCAAAGACAGAGGAGAATCCTGGGCCAGCCCCTTTCCATCCCTACTTCCCAGCCTGAGAATAAAAGGACATCAATGATATCTTTATTTTCCAAGGTCTGACACAAAATATCATGAACGCATTTTTCCTCCCAGCAACTGTTTTGCAAGATGTGTATTTGCCTGGGTCTGCGGTTAGTTAGGCCTGCTCCACTGAAGTTCCTTCTGAAAATACTTTGATGACAGTTATTTTAACAGGGATAGGATGTTTACAGGATGACAAGAAGATGAGTTGAGAATAATTTAACTGCTGCTAACTCAATAATACAGATATGGAATGAGGCCGGGTGGGGTGGCTCAAGCCTGTAATTCCAGCACTTTGAGAGGCTGAGGCAGGCAGATCAGTTGAGCTCAGGAGTTCTAGACCAGGCTGGGCAACATGGCAAAACCCTATCTCTGCCAAAGATACAAAAATTAGCTGGGCATGATGGCATGCACCTGCCATCCCAGCTACTCAGGGCCGAGGTGGGAAGATCGCTTGAGCTGGGGAGGTAGGGGTTGCAGTGAGCCGAGATCATGTCACTGCACTTCAGCTTGGGTGACAGAGTGAGAGACCCTGTTTCAAAAATAAATAAATACATAAAATAAAGAAAAGATGAAAAAGGAATGAACTGTGATGAAAATTCAGGAATAATAGGGAAGCTTGGAAATCACCAAATCGCATCCGTAGCACTATTGAGATAGCCAAATCTCAAGCTGGTCTCCCCGCCGGCCTCTTTCTAAGGATGGTGGGGAGGTGGCTTTTGTCTTTGATCTTGCCTGGATCTTTCATTATCTTGATTCTGACTCCAGTACATGTTGCTGTGTTCTGGATCCTGCTGCAAATCAGGGTCTTTCTGGCATGAGAGTTCATAGGCTTACTACAAAGGCTCAGAGACTAGCCCATCTCTTGCCCCATCCTTGGCTCTGAAATTACTCAGAGTTTAGTTTTTTTTTTTTTTTAAGATGGGGTTTCACTGTTGGTCAGGCTGGTCTTGAACTCTCGACCTCAGGTGATCCACCCGCCTTGGCCTCCAAAGTGCTTGGATTACAGTCATGAGCCACCATGCCCGGCCCTCAGAGTTTAGTTCTTAAAGTACAGATTTCTGCATCAGACACACAGTGTTTCCCAATTTGTATTATTCATGCATTTCTCTTCCTACTCTTAATTGCATGCTTGATGCATGCATTCTGCAGTTGGAACATCCTTTAAGTGCCCTGAAATGTTTGTAGATGTGTACTAGATTAATCCTGAAATGTCTGTAGATGTGTCCTAGATGTTTGCAGATATGCTTTGCTAATTGTGTCAAGTGCTATTGAGAGGTTGAGTAAGGTGACTACTGAGAACTGACCCTTGGAATTAGCCATATGGCAAGGTAGGGGTGAGGGGACATCAGTCTGATTGCAAACGATTCAAGAGGCAATGGGAAGAGACAAATGGGAGAAAACAAGTACAGATGTTTTTCAAGGCATTTGGCTACAAAGGAGAGCAGAAAAATGGGAAAGAGCTGGAGAAGAAGGGTAAAGGGAGCTCCTTGAGATGGGAGGAGTAACGGTACACTTTTCCCTGTGAAAGGGATCTCTATTCCCAGGACACTTCAACACTGATCAAGTCCTCTTTCTTTCAACTTCTATCACACCCATAGCTGCTCTAGAGCCCCTCCCCATAATCTCCTAAACCTACCTCAGCACCAGCCTGCATTATCTTTCTTGCCCCCTTTCCTCTTCCTCCATCAATTTCTTCATTATGTAGATCAAATGAGTTCATTTCCAACAAAACCCAGGCATCTTTCATTGGAGAAAAAAGGAGTAAAACTGAGCAGGCAATTGCAGAATTTTCCTTAGAGGGAGGGATTGGGGTTGGGATTGGGTATGGCTCCGAACACTCCTAAATTAATACATTTTTGACCCATCACCCAGGTCTCTTGGAAACTGAGGTTTCAGAAGTGGGAGCCTCTGAAGAATGCCTTTTTCATCTTGGCCGAAAGAGCCCAGGACCCCAATGCTAAAAAGCGTCGCATGGCAATGAGAGGCTTGGGAACCATGGCCTGCGAAGCCCCTGACAAGGTAGGGAAGAAGGGTGGGGCTCAGCCAGCCCCCCAAGCCTCTCCAACCCTCTTGGTGTGGAGTCCCCAGGGCTGGAGTATGGTCTCTGATGTGTTAGTTACCTATCACCCTGGAACAAACCACTGCACACTTAGCAGCTTACAGCAACACATGTTTATTATCTCGGTTTTCAGGGTCAGGAGTCCAGGTGCAGCTCAGCTGGGTCCTCTGCTCAGGCTCTTAGGAGGCTGCAATCAAGTGTCAGCCAGAATGCATTCCTTTCTGAAGCTCAGGGTTCACTTCTGTGGTTGTTGGCAGAATTTAGTTACTTCCCATTGTGGGACGGATGTTTCTGTTCTTTTCTTTGCCTGCTGTCTGTTGTGGGGTGGGGTACTCTCAATGCCTAAAAGCCACTCTCTCACAGCAGGCAGCTCACTTCCTCCAGGCCAGCAGGAGGGTTTCCTGTCTTCCTGTCTGCTAAGATAGAGTCTTATGGGCCAAGCAGTGGTTGCTCACACCTGCAATCCCAGCACTTTGGGAGGCCAAGGCCAGCAGATCACTTGAGGTTAGGAGTTCAAGACCAGCCTAGCTAACATGGTGAAACCCTATCTCTTTTGCATTTTTGTAAAAATACAAAAAATTAGCCAGGTATGGTGGTATGTGCCTGTGGTCCCAGCTAGTCAGGAGGCTGAGGCAGGAGAATTGCTTGAACCTGGGAGGCAGAGGTTGCAGTAAGCAGAGATCACACCATGCACTCTAGCCTGAGCAACAGAGTAAGACTCCGTCTCAAAAAAAAAAAAAAAAAAAAAGAGTCTTATGCAATTAAAGTCATGTCCGTAAGCTAGAAGTGAGTCTCAAGTTTCTTCTGCACTCAAGGGGAGGAGACTGTACAAGGATGTCATTCATTCAGGGTCATCTTAGGCTCATGACACCTCAGCAATATCAACTGCATGGGAGACAGAGCTGTAGGCAGGATAAATTCACAGCTGTTACCCTCCCTGGTGAATTTAAGTGATTTTTTTTCTAGTAATTTATGTTTGTTTCATAGAATATGTTTTTGCCACCTCCTCCTTTACCATCTGCCAACTTCAGTGCCCATTTTGTCTTTTCCCTACTAGTACTTCCCACAAGATCACCCAGGTCTGCTGCCCTATTTGGAGAGCCCTACCCAGCCTCCCTCACCCACATGCCACTCCAGATTGCTCTTTCTGTTTTCCTTCCTAGGCTGAGTTGGGCTCTTGGGTTGGGTTAATGGAAGCATTTGTATTTTAGTGAGTTGTGCAAACCTTGAAGAAAGCCCTGGTCTCTTAGTTCAAGTCCTAGGTTATTAGTAGCTTAGATGTGGGGTTGCTTTTCAACCCATGGGGAGTAATTCCTGTGCTGCTAATGCTTTCCAAACCTTGGTGACAGGTGAGAAAGTATAAGAAAATTGTCCTGGACCTGCTGGTGTGTGGATTGTATGACCCTGTGAGTTTGGAAGTCATCCATGAAAGTATGAAGACTCTGACCATCGTCCTGGGCAAGATCCAGGGGACAGGTTTGGGCTCCTTCTTCATAGAGATCACCCTTCAGACCAGGACTTTATTAGATGATGTAAGTGAGACAGAAAAATTCTGGGTTATCGAAATCAAAGTGGGATTAGAAATGTGACTATGGGGCCGGGCTCATGTCTGTAATCCCAGCACTTGAGGAGGCCAAGGTAGGCAGATTACTTGAGGTCAGGAGTTTGAGACCAGCCTGGCCAACATGGCGAAACCCTGTCTCTACAAAAATACAAAAATTAGGCCAGGTGCAATGGCTCATGTGTGTAATTCCAGAACTTTCGGAGGCTGAGGTGGGCAGATCACTTGAGGTCAGGAGTTCCAGACCAGACTGGTCAACATGGAGAAACTGCATCTCTATAAAAAATATAAAAATTAGCTGGGCATGGTGGCGCATGCCTGTAGTCCCTGCTACTTGAGGGGATTGCTTGAACCTGGGAGGTGGAGGTTGCTGTGAGCTGAGATCACAGCACTGCACTCCAGCCTGGGCCACAGAGTGAGACTCTGCCTCAGAAAGAAAAGAAAAGAAAAGAAATGTGAGCTGTGGGTGGTTTGTTGCTGTGGGAACAAGGTCTTTATTATTCACTTATTTATTAACATATCTTGTTGAGAGACTAGTACTGTGCCAGGGGTTGGGAGGATATATAAAGATGTATAGAATTCTATCTCTACCTCTCAAGGGTGGTTTTTTTTTTGTTTTTTTGATACAGGTTCTCTCTGTTGCCCAGACTGGAGTACAGTGACATGATCTCAGTTCACTGCAATCTCCACCTCCTGGGCTCAGGCGATCCTTCGACCTCAGCTTCCCAAGTAGCTGGGACTATAGGCACATGCCACCACACCTGGCTAATTTTTGTATTTTTGGTAAAGATGAGTTTTCACTTTGTTGCCCAGGCTGGTCTCAAACTCCTGGGCTCAAGTGATCCACCTGCCTTGGCCTCCCAAAGTGTTGGGATTACAGGCATGAGCTATTGCGCCTGGCAAGTTTTCATCTTAACAGAGAAGTGGGTATACGTACACTAATGATGTGGATTGACTAATGATGTTGACACTGGTTGACTAACATGTAGTCACTGCTGTCTTATAAATGTGACGATAGCAATGATTAGCATTTAGTGAGCCCTCACTGTGTGCCAGGCACAATGCTGGGCAGTTTACATGGATCATCTCATATAATCTTCACAATAAACCTGTGAGGTGGACTCTGAAATTGTCTTCACTTTGTGGACAAGGAAACCAAGGCACAGAAAGGTTAGAACTTGGCCAAGTTGACAGAGCCAGGAAGTGACATGCCACCAGCTTCTCTGACTATAGGGCTGCACTCTGAACTGCGAGATGACAAGTCAGGCTGAGCAAAAGGTGCACCAGCATATAGTTCAGTCCAAAACTGAGAAGAGTCACAGACCCTAATTGCGAGCTGACAAGTTAGCCTGCCAGTTATTCTGTCCCTGAAAGACAAGACCTATGGAACAGTGAACAGACCTTTTAATTACTCCCAGAGCAACCTGTTATCTTCCCACACCCTGATATTCTCTCTGGCCCACATGGTGAGAGCCAAATGTGTCAGCAGCACAGGAGGGGAAAAGAGGCCTTGACCTTATGTAACTTGGAGCTCATATAGGAGCTGGGCAAATTTGTCTGTCCTGTTCTAGAGACACAGAGGGATTTTTGCTCTTGAATGTAAGCCAGTCTTCTCTAGGGATGGAGTGAGGGAAGTTCCCTACTTACCATCCTGGAGTATAAGCAGATATCTGGGGAGATGGCTCTAAATCTCTTGGAGGTGTCATCTGAACTTCCAGGACTTGTCAGTCAACCACTTTTTTTTTTTTTTTTGACACAGGGTCTCGCCCAGGCTGGAGTGCAGTGGCAGGAACACAGCTCACTGCAGCCTCAACCTCCCAGGCTCAAGTGATCCTCCCACCTCAGCCTCCTGAGTAGCCACGATCACAAGTGCATGCCACTGTGCCTGGCTAATTTTTGTAGTTTTTGTAGAGATGGTCTTGCTATGTTGACCAGGCTGATCCTAAACTCCTGGGCTCAAGCGATTCTCCTGTCTTGGCCTCCTGAAATGCTAGGACTTTAGGCATGAGCCATGGTGCCTGGCCTTCAACCATTTTTTAAACTCTGGTTACGTGGAATTTTTGAGCAGAAATCCCTGGCCATATAGAAACACAAAAATTCTTTTTTTTTTTTTTGTAAAAAGACAGGGTTTCACCATATTGGTCAGGCTGGTCTTGAACTCCCAACCTCAGGTGATCTGCCCACCTTGGCCTCCAAAGTGCTTTGATTATAGGCGTGAGCCACCATGCCCGGCCAAAACACAAAAATTCTTATGCAGAACTGTTTGCTGACAGTTTATATCTTGATTATAGATAGCACTCTTCACTATCTGAGGCCATGCTGCTCACCCGTGCATGTATTCCCAGTCAAATGATGTCAGACTCCTAGGGGGACGGGCACCTGTCTTACATGTCTGTACATCTTACAGCATTAGGGTATGGCTTCGGATGGTGTACATTCTCCATTAAAATTAGTTAAACTAAACAGGCACATATACACTCTCACTGCTACAACAGTGAAGATAATACAACTCTAAGCCAGGTATGGTGGTGTGTGCCTATAATCCCAGCTACTCAGGAGGCTGAAGCAGAAGGATCACTTGAGTCCAGGAGCTGGAGGCTAGGCTGGGCAATGTAGCAAGATGCTGTCTCTCTCTCTTGAAAAAAAAAAAATAATAATTTAAAAAAGCAACCCTAAGGCAATTTCTGTATGCATCATGTGCTAATTTTTAAAAGATACTTCACAATATGATTAGTGGTCCTCAGTCTTGCTGGATCTCTGTGACCCACAGTTCTTGGTGTTCCTTCCCCCGTGAAGGCCTACCCCAGTCCTGCTCCTGCTGGTTTACCTGGAGCAGGACTTAGACTACAAAACACTGATATAAAAACCTGTGCACCAGGAGTCAGATGTCTGGGTTACTATACTGCCTCTGCTACCTGACAGTGTGGTTTTGGGCAAGTTGCTTAAATGCCTTGGGCTTTGGTCTCCTCTCCTGGAAAGGTAATACTTGGACCAAACAGCTCACCTTGGAAAGAAAGAGAAGGCTGAGTCTACTGAAATGTACTCAGGGACAAACCGACCAATCAGACTGAAAGCAGGGAGAGGTGGGAGGGTGTTGGGGGAAGAAACACGATTATTATATCCACTGCAGATGGGAGAAACTCAGACCAAAGGCAGAGAGAAGAGACTTGGGAAAATGCTGCAGTAATAAACAGGGAACTGGTAGAATGAATTTTGGTGCAGAAAAGGAAAAGAGAAAAAAGAAAAAAATAAAAATGGAAACAACTTTATGTATAGACAGAGAAAGAGCTCTCAGACTGACGAAAAAAATCAAGGGCATAACAACAGTGGCCTGATGCTTCCATTTATGGAAAAAAGAGGGAAAGGACTATACAGTAAACATCTTTCTTCTTTATTTTCTGGATAGATAGGTGCAAACATTATTAGCTTGTGGGGAGGAACATTTGGTGGCCGATGGAGAGGAGTAGAACGTAGACCTACTTTTTCTATAAAGCTTTTGGTTATTTTGAATTTTGGGAACTTTATAAATGTATTCTATCTCCAAAACGTGAAATGATGAACAAAAAATCTGGGAACGTGGGAGGAGCCCCAGTGATTTCCCAGGCTAGTCCTCTTGTCTGCTGGAGAAGAGGTACTTTGGGCCCTCTTCATGGCATCCCCTACCCACCCAGCTAAGTGCTTTAGACCAGATCTCACTGCTCACCCTGTAATGTACATCCAAGGTTGATGGCTGTGATGTGTTCTGATTGACAGCCATGATGTGTTCTGATGTAGTTGCCTTTTGGTAATGATCTGGCTTTCTTGTTTTGTTGATGGGGACTGCAGGAGAATGACAGTCTGAGATACTCAGCCTTTGTTTTGTTTGGGCAATTGGCTGCCTTTGCTGGGAGGAAATGGAAGAAATTTTTCACCAGTCAGGTTAAGCAGACACAAGATTTACTCCTGATCCATTTACAGGACAGAAATCCCCAGGTTGCCAAGGTAAGACCTTGACTCTGCAACAAACAGAGTGACATTCCATGCTATTCATAAAGGGAGCTGTGAGTTGAGAGGCCAGACCCTGGGGTTCCCGCCAGCACTGCTGTGGATACTGGGCAGCGTATCTGTATGAAACCTGATCTCTCTTTGAGCAAGAGTGTTATTTTCCATCTGCTCCACCTGCCCAAGCCCAGCACCTGTCAATGCTAGATAAGCTCAGGGTAATGGGTTGGGGGCAGAGGGGCACAGATTTAATCAATGGTGCAGCAGCCTATGTAATGAGGATATTTATTCATGCCCAATTAGCTTTTGTCATTGTGCCTGGTATAGATTTCCTACCCATGGCTTCTTTCTTTTTCTTTTCTGTTTTTTTTTTTTTTTTTGTAACAGAGTTTTGCTCTTGTTGCCCAGGCTGGAGTGCAATGGCATGACCTTGGCTCACTGCAACCTCCGCCTCCCGGGTTCAAGTTATTCTCCTGCCTCAGCCTCCTGAATAGCTGGGATTACAGGTGCCTGCCATCATGCCTGGCTAATTTTTTATATTTTTCAGTAGAGATGGGGTTTCACCATGTTGGCCAGGATGGTCTCAAACTCCTGACCTCAGGTGATTCACCCGCCTTGGCCTCCCAAAGTTCTGGGATTACAGGCATGAGCCACCTTGCCTGGCTCCACCCATGGCTTATTAATTTCTTCTGGAAGTTTTGTTTTTTTCTTAGAGAAAATGTGTCCTAACAAGGTTGGATCAACTTCAAACCTACTTTGGGGTGGGACTGGGTGAACGTTTCAAAACAATTAGGAGGAAAGCTTTCTACCAAACCACTCGTCTTCTTTAAATTACTGAGAGAGAGAGAGATTAAATTTAGGAATCCAGTACTACTTTTGATGGGATAATAACAAGGGCTGTGCTAAACTGTAAAGCCATGCCCTTCCTACCAGTCCCCAAATTATAGATATGGCCATTTTATAAGCATACACCCTTTAAGACTCAAATTTTGAAACTACTGCAAGTTACTTTCACACTCTTAGTGGCCCCCTGACCACAGATTGAGTGCAGTCCTCTAGGATACTTTTCCTTGCTTGGGATTACAGAACTCTCTAAAATTTTTGACAATAAAATAGTAATATTATTTTTCTCTCAGGCTTGCAAAACAACATTTCGAGCCTGTTCTCCATATCTGAAACTAAGGAAGGAATACAGCTTCCAGAATGAAGAAGATCAAAGGAACCCTAAACTCTGCCGGCAGCTGGTGAGTGAGCCAGGGTAGGAGAGAATTCTCTTCTGGTCCCTGCCTTCCTGGTGGTTAACACAGAAGGTGTTACCCCCATAAAACAACTCAGGCCAACTATGTTTGTTTTTTTTTTTGGACAGAGTCTTGCTCTGTCACCCAGGCTGGAGTGCAGTGGCGCCATCTCGGTTCACTGCAGGCTTCACCTCCGGGTTCCAGCAATTTTCGTGCCTCAGCTTCCTGAGTTGCTGAGATTACAGGGCGTGCACTACCACATCCAGCTAATTTTTCTATTTTTAGTAGAGACGGGGTTTCACCATGTTGTCCAGGCTGGTCTCGAACTGATCTCAAGTGATCTGCCTGCCTTGGCCTCCCAAAGTGCTGGGATTACAGGCATGAGCCAGCATGCCTGGCCAAGCCAACTATGTTTTGATTGTAGTCGACCCATCATACGATGTAATGGCAAAATGCCTAGAAGATCAAGCACAAGATATATTGGCAGTTTCAGGTCAGGTCACTAGCTGGACGCAGGTGGTACCTGCGCTGACAACTTAGATAGTCAAGATCCACTGCTGAATCCCTCCCTCACAGGTACCATTGTTCATTTCTTTCAGAGCCACTATCATCCAGAGCTCCTGCAGTTTTTCTACGCAAACAAAATTTTGTAAGCGCAGAGCAGCAGGGAAATGGTTCTGTGTGAGTGCGTTGCTGAGCCATCAACTTCCCCTTTTTGTCTCATTGGATGCCTCTTCTGCTCGCCTCTTGGGATTGTAATGGAAAAGAGGGTGCTAGGAGAGCAATCAAAGGCAAAAAATGATACATGGAATTTATGATTATATCTAAAGTAAAATTCTAGACTGTTTTCACTTATTTCCTCTTTACACAAATTTGATGAGCAGGTACACCCTTTTTAAAAAAACATTCCAAATCTGTATATATTCAGTGCTTATTTCTCACCTTTTTCTTTCTTTTTTTTTTTTAAAGACGCGGTTTCACCATGTTGGTCAGGCGGGTCTTGAACTCCCAACCTCAGGTGATCCGCCCACCTTGGCCTCCAAAGTGCCTGGATTACAGATGTGAGCCACCACACCCAGCCTTTTTCTTTCTTAAGTTCATCTCTGTCACCTATCTTTTATTTTAAATATTTAATTTCTGAGCCTTAGGAGAATACCTGTTACCTTAAGGTTTTCTTTTTAAGTGTATTTGCTATTGATACTTTGCTATTGATACCTTTTCTTGCCATGATTTATTTAAAGTTGGCCAAGATACCAAGAAGGTGGCTTAGAGGGGTATCTTTGTCTTCTCATAATTTTAAAGTCATTGCTTTCACAATCATCCTAAACAAGAATTAATAGGGAGAAAATCATCTATGAAGCATGCGTTGAAAATCCTCAGGCTTATGCTAACTTGGGATAGTAATAGTAGGTAGCACTTACTGACTGCTTACAATTTAGTGGGCATGGTTGAAGTGCTTTTTGTAAGTTCTGTTTGATACTTGCCACAACGCTGTGAGATAGTAAGTATTATTATTATTATTCTCATTTTATAGATGAGAAAGCTAAGACACAGGGAAATTAGGTAACTTGGCCAAGATAACTCAGTAAAGGGTGGGGCTGGAATTTACATGTATATGGTCTGACTTCTTGAGCCCATACTCAATAATCATGTCATCCTGCTTCTCTGCGGAATAACTGATGGATGATTAGAAATGTTAAAAGCAAAACAAACACAGACTTCTCTGCTTCTGCTCCTCTACTAAGCCCAGTTCACTTTTGCTTTTATAGGTACTAAGTATACATTTTTATTAATTTATGTGAGCTAAGTATATATTTTTATTAATTACTTTTTGGCTATTAATGCTAATTATTTTAGTGATCGATCCTAGTTATCTGAGGAGTTACATCACTCATAAAAATTACAAGAAAAATCTCTTAAGTCCATCTTACTCTCCCTCCAACCAGATTGCAACCCAAGCTTCTGTAGACACTCTGGTACCACGACTGAACTCAGTTTCCAGGCCACACCTGGAGCATTTTGTTCGAGACTATTTAAAATATGAGAGATTATAAAAGCTACGATGAGATCTTAAATGGCATTCTGAGAACGAGGAACTCAATTTTCTGCTGTAGCTTCCAGGGACGGGGTGGTGTGACACAGATGCAGGGGTGAGGAGAACCCTAGGCAAGACGAGGATGTGAGAGATGGCAGATGAAGTGGCAGGTGCCAGGCAGGAATGAATTTTCCTCCTTGCTGTTTTGAGTCTGAAGAACATGACAGAAGGAGACTTTAGGAGGGACACAGGCTCAAGAGCAAATGGGTAGTTCTGAGCTGTAAGCCCCCTGCCCCTCCCCAGCACCGGCTTGCCTCTTAGAAAGTTTGTTGCAAGGTTGCTTTAAACTTGATGCAGTTCTGTTAAATGATCAGTGAGTGGCATGAGGAGTGGCTGCATTTGGCTGCCATTCAAAAAGGTGGGGATAGGGTAAGATGGGTGAGGTTACATGCTCTAGAGTAGAAATATCTATGCAGTTAACTCTGTTGGCTAAAATTGTGGAAGACGCGGTTGGATTATTAAAGATTCCATGGTAGCCTTTTATTTTGGTGGCCCCAATGAGTCATGTGTCCTGATACTCCTGTCCTTATTTAGTCCCTTCTGTTTGAATCTGGGCTAGCTTTGTGACTTACTTTAACCAAGAGGTTGTGATGAATGGCACTGTGCCTAGAAATCCAGGCAGTTTCCTCTTTTGAATTCTGGGGAAGCCAGCTGCCACATATGAGGTTGAACTACCAGGAACAAAGGAGAGAGCCTGAGATCACCATGTGAAGGAGAACAGAGACACTCAACCCACAGCAGAGTCTGAGGCCCAGACACATGACATAAGTTGTCCCTTCCAGCCTGACTCCAGCTGTTGAAGCTACTCCAGCTGACACCCTATGGAAAAGAGACGAGCATCTCCATCAAGCCCGTCTCAATTGCAGAAGCATGAACAAGGAATCAAATGATTGTTGTTTTAAGTCATTAACTTTGGGATACTCTGTCACACAGCAATAAGTAACCAGAAAAAGATTCCTTATTATTAACTGTTGTTTTGGCTAATTTTGTTTTTCTCTTCATAAATCCTCTTTGAGTTTAAATTATATTTCCAGAAATTTATGTTATCATGAAATTTGGTGGCAAGAGCAAGGGACTACTTTTTTTTTTCTTTTCTTTTTTTTTTTTCCTGTGTCTCACCATACCTATCACAGGGCCTGCCACGTGATTCAGAAACATTTGCTGAATGACTAAATGATTCCAAATTGTAGAGGGAATAAAGTCCAAAGTCTGGTCTGCCATTCCAGGCTTTCAACCTTCCTTTTCTTCTGTTTCTCTCTTTGCTTCAAGTCAGGTATGGGTCCTTTCTCTTCCCTCGATGTGTCTTGGTCTCCTCTGCCCCTTCACCTTTGTTCTTTCTGAATTGAATCCCCTCTCCTGCTCACCTGTGCACACCCACATGGACACACACACATTTCACATGCATATCTTATCTGTACTCCAGTGCCTAGGTCAAAGGCCTGTTCCTCCCAGTCAGGCAAGAGCTTGAGTGTCTGAATTCCCAGAACATTCTAGCAATATTATGCCACTTATATCTTATCTGAAAGGCTTTTTTCTTTTTCCCAGTATGTCTTTTTGTATTTTTTTCCTGTTAGATTGAAACTACGGAAGGCAGGGCTCTATCTTGTACATCATTGTGTCTCCCTGGTGACTGCAAAGTACTCAGTAAATGAATGTTGATTGGGGGAAAAAAGTCAGAAAGTCATCTGAAGTCGTCACTCCTTCCTGGGAGGAGCCCATTTTGACAAATGAGGGTCGTCGATTTCATTCCTTATAACCAATCTGCAGGTTACTTTTATGCTTGTGCATTTCAAGTTTCCCCTTCCCCATGTTTATTCGAATGCCAACCCAAAGGTTGTTTTGACATTTCTTAATTTTGAACGTTATTGAGCAGTTGAATGAAAGAAAAAAGGAATGTTCAAGTGCCCCATCCCCCCATACTAAGTGCTCAGCATGGAGCTATGTTTGGTCCCCTGTGTCCTGGTCCTCATGAGATGGGTCTTTCTTTCTTTTTTTCATTTTTTTTGAGATGGAGTCTCACTCTGTTTCCCAGGCTGGAGTGCAATGGCCTGATTTTGGCTTACTGCAACCTCCACCTCCTGGATTCAAGCAATTCTCCTATGTTAGCCTCCTGAGTAGCTGGGATTGCAGGTGCCTGTCACTATATCCCACTCATTTTTGTATTTTTAGTAGAGACAGGGTTTCATCATGTTGGCCAGGCTGATCTTGAATTCCTGACCTCAAGTCATCTGCCTGCCTTGGTCTCCCAAAGTGCTGGGATTACGGGTGTGAGCCACCACTCACGCTATCACCAGCTGAGATAGGTTTTCTTAAAAGGGAGAGGGAAGTGGTGAAAGAGGGAAGAGAAAATGACAAAGGAAGAGGCTGAGAATCTAACAGGTGTGACCAGTTCTGCTGATCAATGACAGCAGAAGCCTGTGAACTTCCAGTCAATAGACTACTTAATGGGCGAATGCTTCACATGTTATAAAAAACACTGGCGTGTTTTGAAAGTGAGAAACAATAGCTGTATAGGGTAGCAAGCAGTTAGTGTTGTAAGGAAGACAGATATTTGTGCATTTCTGTATTTTTCAAGTTTCCTGCAATGAGCATGTATTACTTTTACAATTATAAAACACATGCAAAAGTACCCTTTTAAAATGAAAAAAAAAGTCCATGAGTGTAAGTGATATGCTTTGGGAAGCCTGGGTGCTCACTCTTGGTAGTATGTGTTTGTCTTTGTCCTTTTTTTTTTTTTGAGACGGAGTTTTGCTCTTGTTACCAGGCTGGAGTGCAATGGCACGATCTCCGCTCACCGCAACCTCTGCCTCCTGGGTTCAGGCAGTTCTCCTGCCTCAGCCTCCTGAGGAGCTGGTATTACAGGCACGCACCACCACACCCAGCTAATTTTTGTATTTTTAGTAGAGACAGGGTTTCACTATGTTGACCAGGATGGTCTCTATCTCTTGACCTTGTGATCCACCCGCCTCGGCCTCCCAAAGTGCTGGGATTACAGGCTTGAGCCACCACACCTGGCCGTCTTTGTCCTTTTGAGACATTTTGTTTTAATCTGTTGATAACAATAACCTGTTGATAATATAACTTGTTGATGACAAATAAAATGACTTATGATTGATTATCACTTTCTTTAGGTTACGGAACTTACATTATTTCCATCTGACCACAGTAGAGTAAGTCTTTTCTTCCTTTTTTACATGTTAAGTGGTTTCAAGAAAACCCTGGGTTCTAGATAAACCCAACACATCCTAATTTTCTGAAAAGAGATGATCTGATTGACAGTGACACCTATTATTTACCAAGTTAAGCATGACTCCCAAGCCAGACTTCTAAGATTCCTTATAATAAACACCAACCTAGAATTTCCCGTGTTGCTTCCTCAATTCCTACTGTCTGAAATACTTCACTCTCCAGTTCCTTGTTTCTATCAACCATTCCCTGGACTGATTCCAAATGCCCTTTTCTTCAGAGGTAGAGCACAGCCTCTGGGGGGATGCAGCCTGGCTCTGACATTTAGCCATGTGTGGGCAAGTCAGCACACCAAGCCTCAGTGTACTGATTCGTGAAATGGAGACAATAACCCAATGGACAGAATTGTTGGGCTGCAAAGATTCAATTAAGTCACACTGAGCACTTGGCACAGTCTTGGTGCATAGAAGATGCTCAGGAAATGTTAGTTATTTTTGTTCCGCATTCCCAACAAACTCTCCAGACATTATTCCTTCTCTTCTTGAAGTTGCCCAGGTCTTCAGACAAATCTACTGGTAACCTCCAGTCCTGGAGGCTGCCTCTGTATTCTTTACTAGTTCTTCAAGAATGTGGCTTTGAGCCTTGCCTGACATGGGTGTTCAGGAAAGATTGGTTGAATTCATCGAATTGCAAATGCTGGCATTTTGACCAAGTAAGAATTTGTCACCTGATAGATTCTGGAATTTTAATAAAGATAAGAGTCATAGCAATGAGAATAGCGGGTGGTCCTTTCCCACTCAGCCCTTTTGGGGTGCTATGATTGCTCAGAGAGGGGGCAGTGCCTTTTTAAGCTCTTGAGATGGTTTCAATAAGCTCTGTTCATTCCATCCTAATAGTCCCAACAGCTCTGTTAAGAATTCTTTATTGTATCTTTTAAGCAAGCTCTTGTTAATAATTAACACCCCACCTTCTGTTTCCGGGGTTGACGTTATAATCATGTTCCTTTCGAGCAGATGAATTTCCTACAGCAGTTTGCAAATGTTAACAAGGTAATGGCCCAAGAAGAAAATGTTTTTCAGAAATGTGGATCAGAGAGTTAAAAATGTTATTTCCTAAGCAACACTGCTAGAGGCACATGCTCTGCCACAGCAAAAATGCGATCAGAAGTCCAGAGCTTTTCAACATTCCTGCCTGACTGCATCAGCAGATATAACCAGCCGCTGGAAGAGGAGAGAAGCTCAATTCTCAAATGTGACATCGTGCGGGCTGAAAGGACAATACATTTGGTATCAGAAGACCTGGCTTTACACTCTATCATTTACTAACTAGTTATCTTGAGCAAGTCACAAAACCCCTCAGAGCCTTGGGGTCTTTATTTGTCAAGTGGAGGTAAAACCACAGCATAAGATACTCTGATGATCAGATGAGACAGTCTGTGTAAACTGTGGAACATTACTCCTAAATGGAGTGTTCCTAGTTACATGGTAGCCACCCATGATTGGAGCCTATTTATACAATGTAAAGGGTGGAGAGAATGAAATAAGATGTTAACACAGATCTCTATCTGTCTATCTATCATATCTATCTATCTATCTATCATCTATCTATCTATCTATCTGTCTGTCTGTCTGTCTGTCTGTCTGTCTGTCTATCTATCTATCTACCTACCTACCTATCTATCTATCTGTTAATCATCTGAGACAAATTCTCACTCTACTGCCCAGGCTGGAGTGCAGTGGCGTCATCTCAGCTCACTGCAACCTCTGCCTCCCAGGTTCAAGAAATTCTCCTTCCTCAGCCTCCCAAGTGGCTGGGATTACAGGCATGCACCACCATGACTGGGTAATTTTTGTATTTTTAGTAGAGACAGGGTTTCGTCATGTTGGCCAGGCTGGTCTTCAACTCCTGACCTCATGCGATCCGCCCACCTTCGCCTCCCAAAGTGCTGGGATTACAGCCCTTAGCCACTGTGCCCTGCCTATTGTGGCCAGGTGCCACTGATCTCCATTTAAAATAATAAAATTAATAAGTAATATAAATAAAAATAATAAAAGCAACAAGTAATCACTATACATAAAAATCTTAAAAATATAAACACAATACAATTAGGTAGATACATTATTTTACATAAGGTTGTTTGTTCCCGATAGTAAATAACCGTTACATGTCAAATAGGGTTCAGCTTACAAGTTTAACACCTATTTTTTACAATTTAGTTACATCTGAACTTTTTTGGTATGATACAATAACATTCAGAAATTGTGGAAAATCTGACTCTTTTTCTTTAGGTTACTCTGATACTTAGTTTAAGTCAAACACTAAACTCCATTAGGGAATAATGAAAATTTTATATCTTTGGATTTAAATCTATTAGAGTGACAGTCAATTTACTATCTCCCAACAAGCCTGAGAAGACGAAGCCCAGGAATGTGAGATTTTCTGACTAGTAAGAAAATCTACCCACTGTGCAGAGTGGTGGATTAAATTAATTCAAAGCTAGTACGCTTATTTTACAACTTAAGGGAACAAATTCAATTTCCTAAATAAAAATTTTATGACTTAAGTGAACAAACACAATTTCCTGTAGTAAATAAACATGGTTTGCTTATTTATGGTTAAACGATTTGCATTTATGTCTGGTGTCCTCCCATTAACTATCAGTAAACAAAGAGAGGGTTTTATTATGAAGGTAATGGGATCTGCCTAGTTAAATCTGTTTAATCATAAAAGACCTTTGCCCTACCTGGATCTGTGATTATATCAGGACTTAACTATTAACCTGCTCACTCTTACCTTTCCAAAGAAAACTAAGGGCTAGCCTACCATTTTGGATTTCCCAAGGCTTTTCCTTAAATAAGATGGAGACTTAGATGTGAGTAAATGAGGTCTGCCTACGAAATCAAAACCTGTCACTTCCGGTTTCCCCAGCATTGTTGCAAGACGTCTCCAACTGGCTACGTGACTGCCCCTAATTGGCTTTAGGATGAGGAGGAGTCTGAGCTGGTGGGGTTGGTTCATCCATCTCTAAGGGGTGTTCACATCTTGCCCTTTATGCTTCTTTGAGTTTCTGGAGCTGGAGCCTGTGCTGTAGGTAATGGCAGGCAGCCTGTGATGGAAAGCTGTGGAGCTTCTACTTTCAAAGTTCTTTAGATAAGAAAGCAGTTCATGATGATTTCTTGTTTTGTTTTCTTTTTTTGAGACGGAGTTTTGTTCTTGTTACCCAGGCTGGAGTGCAATGGCGTGATCTCGGCTCACCACAACCTCCACCTCCTGGGTTCAGGCAATTCTCCTGCCTCAGCCTCCTGAGTAGCTGGGATTACAGGCACGCGTCACCATGCCCAGCTAATTTTGATTTCTTAACCAAAGAAATACTGTATTTCTTTAAACAATCATTAAAAAGAAGCAATGAACAGACAGCAAAGCTATTGCCTAGTCTCTAGTTCACTCCTCTGCTTTCCCCCTTCTGGTCCTGCACTGGCTCCACTGGGTGGAATCAACCCAGCTCATGTCGAGTCTTGCAGAGAGGGGCAGTGGGCAAGACGTCTCAGCTGGTTTCTCCCAACGGAGGGTTTGACTAGGATGGGATTTCCTGCGGGGAGTGTGTGGTGAGGGGGTGGAAATCATTTCTCATCTCAACCTCGCCTTCCCCACTTTGACCACCACCCCTGCCAGGGCCTATCAGGCACATCCCTTGCTCTTTTCAATAAAGCCCTTTCACTTGGGGTAAGCTCTGTTAGGTGGACATGTGCTATTCAGCTTAGCCTTCATGCTCTGCACTGGGATTTATCCGCCCATAGCCCATTACAGCAGGTTTGAAGGCTGCCTGAAGAACTGCAAGTACATCATGCTGCTGTGCCTTCTCTAGAACAATTGAACAGCATGAGTTGTACCAACATAGTTAATTAGGATTGCTGCACATCCCCCTCCTGCCATGAGGCTCATTTATTACCAAATTTAAACATATTTCTTTGACCGATTTCTTCAACATTAGCAGGTACCATTGATTTCAAAAAATTACTGGAGTACGTGTGTGTGTGTGTGTGTGTGTGTGTGTGTGTGTGTGCGTACAGGGTTTGAGTAATGCTTTTGCAGAAAGAGAAACTTCCAAATACATACTACTTATCAAGGAACCTGTATTTCAAGGAGTGCTAGAAAATCCAACAAAGCAGCTATTAAACCACCTCCATCCCATTGTGACAAATAGTCCAATCTAGCCAGGACTCCTTTCTTTCTTCTCTCTCTCTCCTGGCATTTACAATTCGACAGCTAACTTTTGGACTCTAGGGACTTAGCTTCTTCCAATCCATAATTATATTCTTAAGAACTCAGTCCCTTAGAGACTCACCAGGACCTTTAAGTTCTTTTGATCGATGTGAGGAGGTATTCTATATTAACTGCTGATCTTTTCCTGGAACCCCCATTTGGAAGGACTGTCTAAATCACGCCGCTTGCATGTTCGGCCTGGCATGAGATAACATCTCTCTTCGGCTGCTGTGGAATATTCCTTGGAAGACAGGTGCTCTAGGTGTAATTAGGGCTAACAGGGGTGTCAGCCAGAGGAGGCGTCTGCTGATGGGGATGGCGCGTGCATGTGGCACTCATTGTCTCTCTGTAGATCCCTGCGACTCTCCTTCTCACTTCCCCCTTCTGAAATTCCCTTTCACCAGGGGCCCTCAGCCCTGCAGTTGCCGCTTGCAGCCCCTTAACCTGCTGCCTTATACCATGGAGCAGGCGGCTGCCAGTGTGGGGGACTCTTGCTCCGAGTTGGAGATGGGAGCAACCCTCTGTGAACCTGCTCTTTTTGGTCTGGCTTTGGCTTTTCTCTGCTATATTCAATAACCAATAATTCCACATCCTATTTTCTGAGGGCTCTGTTCACCCTGACCTCCAAGGAGACAGAGTTGTTGGATCATTATACGTGAGAGTGAAGCCGGGCGTGGTGGCTCACACGTGTAATCCCAGCACTGTGGGAGGTTGAGGTGGGAGGATTTCTTGAGGCCAGGAGTTCAAGACCAGCCTGGACAGCACAGTGAGACCCCCCCATATCTAAAGTAAATAAATAAATAAAATTAGGCCAGTGGTGCATACCTGTAGTCCCAGCTACTTGGAAGGCTGAGGCAGGAGGATCACTTGAGCCCAGGAGGTCAAGGCTGCAGTGAACCATGATAGGTAGCACCACTGCACTCCAGCCTGAGAGACAGAGAAGACTCTGTCTCTAAAATGTGTGTGTGTGTGTGTGTGTGCATGATTGTATATTTGCATTGTATCCTGGGCCTCTAGTGTGTATTGTTCAATATGGTAGTCTCCAGCAGCAAATGACTGCTGAGTACTTTAAAAATGGCTAGTCTAAATCAAGCAGCTCTATAAGCATGTGAAATACACCCTGGAAGGCTAAGCATGGTGGCTCATGCCTGTAATCCCAGCACTTTGAGAGGCTGAGGCAGGCGGATTACCTGAGTTCAGGAGTTCAAGACCAGCTTGGCCAACATGGTGAAACCCTGTCTCTACTAAAAATACAAAAAAAAAAAAAAAAAAAAAAAAAAATTAGCTGGGTGTAGTGGTGGATGCCTGTAATCCCAGATACTTGGGAGGTTGAGATAGGAGGATTGCTTGAACCTGGGAGGCAGAGGTTGCAGTGAGCCAATATCGTGTCACTGTACTCCAGCCTGGGCAACAAGAGTAAGACTGTCTCAAAAAAAAAGGAAAAGAAAGAAAAAAAGAAATACACACTGGATTTTGGATACCTAGTATCAAAAAAAAATGTGAAAATATCTTGTTAATAATGTTTTATATTGATAATATTTTGAAATGACAGTATTTTACATATATCAGGTTAAATAAAAGATTTTCAAAGTTAATTTCATCTGCTTCTTTTTAGTGTTCCTTAATGTGGCTTCCAGAAAATTTTAAATTATGTTTGTGGCTTATCTTTTATTTCTTTTGCTAGAGTGCTGCCCTAGTGTATGTGTGAAAAGCCAGGCAAGCTACTCTGGAGGCTGAGGCATGAGAATCTCTTGAACCCAGGAGATGGAAGTCACAGTGAGCTGAGATAGCACCACTGTACCCCAGCCTGGGTGACAGAGCGAGACTCCGTCTCAAATTAAATAAATAAATACATAAAGAAATAGGCAGGTGGGGAGAGATTCTGAGCAGGGATCCTGAGAAAGCACATTTTCATGACGCTTTTTTGAACTCCCAACCTCAGGTGATCCGCCCGCCTTGGCCTCCAAAGTGCTTGGATTACAGGCATGAGCCACTGCGCCCAGCCTCATGACACTTTTTTTATGATGCTTTCTGGCTCCCACTAAGAATAAGGGCGGCTCTGATGGGGGTTGGTGGGCATGAACTACTGCAGTAGTCCCCTGTCCTGTAATGTGAGGTGGGGGGGCGGTGAGCAAGGAGGGAGGAGGTAAAAGAGAAAGCTAAGTCATTGGTAGAGGCAGAAACTCCTGGCCCTGGATGGAACAGGTGCAGCCCTGATGCGTGGTGGGCCTCATCAACTGGGTGGCAGGGCTGGTAGTGCCAGAAAACACCTGAAAGCTCAATTAATCTGTCCCGCTGCCCCTCGGAAAATATCAGCTAAGTCATTTTGGCACCTGTGGGGATAGAACCAGGCTGGGGCACTGTGTCCCTGCCACCAGCTCTGTGACCTTGTGAAAGTTGCTTTTCTTCCCCAGGCTTCATTTTGCTGATCTCAAATTGACGGAGCTGAATCTGTTCAAGACCTCACCAACCTTGACTCTACATGCATTATTCTATCACCTCTTGCAAAGTTGAACATTCAACCATGTTCCCCTCCAGGATGAGGGACCGATCACCCTAGTTTGCCCAGGACTGATGGGTTTCCGGGGGCACAGGAATTTCAGTAATAAACTGGGACAAGGCCAGTGGCAGAGCTGGGACTAGAAACCAAGTAGTTACTGAACGGTGTGTGTGGGAACAGGGAGTGGGGGTGTTCCAGGAGGGGAGTGGTGGAGGAGTTGCAGAGTGGAACGCCCCTCTTTTTTCTTCCCGCAGCCACCCCTGGAGCAGCAGCTGTCTCTGGGATGACTGACAGGTGCAGGAATGGGGAGAGAATGTACAGGTGAGTGTTTTTGGCAATGCATTTACTCAGGTGCCTCTCCCTCACCTAGCCCTCAGCTGCTGTAAGGGGCCCATCAGGCCTGAACCGTGGAGGGTAAGGCCTTACCGGGTCTGCTTCCGCCCACTCATTCAGTGTGAGGTTACCAGAAACAGTGTTCCTTCCTGTACCTCCCTCCCTAAACAGAATCATTCTAGAACCAAGACTGTCACAGGTAAGCCTGAAAATGGTTGTTACTATTTTTATTTTTATTTGATTGATTTATTTATTTTTGAGATGGAATCTCGCTGTGCACCCAGGCTGGAGTGCAGTGGCGTGATCTTGCCTCCTGGGGTCAAATGATTCTCCTGTCTCAGCCTCCTGAGTAGCTGAAATTACAGGTGCCTGCCACCATGCCCAGCTAATTTTTGTATTTTTAGTAGAGACCAGGTTTCACAATGTTGGCCAGGCTCGTCAGGAGCTCCTGACCAGTTAGATCGACCACTTATTTCGACCTCCCAAAGTGCTGGGATTACAGGCGTGAGCCACCGCACCGGGCCTATTACTATTTTAAAAATTAAGAACTGCTTCCCTCTTGAATAGCAATTATTTTTGATTCTGTTTCCTCAGTACTCAATGGGGGCAGCCCCCCACCCCCACCATGTGTGTCAATCACTGCAGCTGAGTAAAAGGCTGCACTTACAGTTTCTAGCATCCAAACCCAGAGCTTTATCCAGGACATGGCTTCCTGGGGGCTTCTCTGCAGCCCAGACAAGGCTGGTTGCTTAGGAATCCCTCAGAGTGGTGGTTAAAACTACACGTACCTGAAAATTCTGAATGAGTAGGTCAAAGGTGAGGCAAGGGGGTCTTGGGTGTGAGCTTTGAAAAGCTCCTGGTGAGTTTGGTGCACAGCCTGGTTTGGGAGTGAGCAGTTGTTTACAGCCCTTGCTGCACCTTAGAATCACCTAAAAATCCACATGTCCAAGCTGCCACACAGACCTATAAAATCAGACTTTCGGCCGGGGATGGTGGCTCATGCCTGTAATCCCAGCACTTTGGGAGTCCGAGGCGTGTGGATTGCCTAAGTTTAGGAATTTGCGGCCAGCTTGGGCAACACAGTGAAACCCCTTCTCAACTAAAATAAATTAGCCGGTGTGGCAGTGTGCACTGGTAATCCCAGCTACTCAGGAGGCTGAGGCACGAGGGTTGCTTGAACCCGGGAGGTAGAGGTTGCAGTGAGGTGAGATCAAGCCACTGCACTCTAGCCTTGGCAACTCTGTTTCAAAAAAAGAAAAAGACTTTCTAGAGATAAGATCCGGGTATCAGTATTTTTAGAAAAGCTCTCCAAGACCTTTAAAAATCTATCAAAGTGTATTGATGAAGGCATTATGCTAAGAGCAATCAAACAGAAACTAAAGAACAAATAGTGTATGATGCCACTTAAATGAGATTATCCTACTGTAGTAAAATTCATAGAGATGGAAAATAGAATGGTTGTTTCCAGGGCTGCGGGGAGAGGGGATGGGGAGTTATTGTTTAATAGGTAGAGTTTCACTTTGGGAAGATGAAATGGTTCTGGAGTGCTGGTGATGATATTTACATAGCAATGCGAATGTACTTGTATTAGTTTATTCTCACACCACTAGAAATAAATACCTGATTGGGTAATTTATAAAGAAAAGAGGTTTAATTGGCTCACAATTCCACAGGCTCTACAGGAAGCATTGCTGGGGAGGCCTCAGGAAACTTCCTATCATGGCAGAAGGTGACAGGGAATCAGGCACATCCTACCAGGCCAGGGCGGGAGGAAAAGAGAGTCGAGGCATGGGGGTGGGTGCTAGACACTTTTAAACAACCAGATCTCGCAATAACTCACTCACTATCACAAGAACAGCACTAAAGGGGAAATCTGTCCCCATGATTCAATCACCTCCCACCAGGCCCACCTCCAACATTGGGGATTACATGAGATTTGTGTGGGGACACAGACCCAAACCAGCTGGAGGACCAGCTGCCTTCACAGCCCGAGGACCAGCCGTCTTCACAGCCCTGGTACCTTGGCTGCCAAACGTCTCCAGCCCTGGGTTCTGCACTCACAGAGAAGTGACTGCCTCAGTCAGAGGGGGGACACCAAAGCTGCTCAGTGACCAGAGGAGGGCGACAACATCCCTGCTTTTCACCCTCTTAGAGCCATTCTTCCAACAGACAGGTTTAGGCTTCCAGACCCCACTTGGAATTCTCACAGCAAGGAAGGCCTTGTTCTGTTGCAGGGGAAGGAGGGAACTACTCTTCACAGCAAAGGCATGCTAGCCTTTAAATGGGTACTTGTTGAAGCCTTTTGATGGCGCTTTGTGCTAATTGCCTAAGGATTACCCTGCCTTGTTGTATGGGAGCAGTAGCCTCTGCCCTCCTGTATCTCTGGCCACAGGTGTATCTTTGTACTGCTGAGGTGCCCCAGCCCAGTCCACTCACCTTGGCTTGGCCTGCTCCAAGGGAAGCACCTGTCCCTGATTTCCTGTGCTGGCTAATTTCCCCTCACATTTTCAGAATCCATGCCATGCTCCGTGTGTGTGTGTGTGTGTGTGTGTGTGTGTGTGTGTCTGTTTGGAGGAGGGGTAAGTAAAATTCACATAATATAAAATTAATCATTTAACCATTTAAAAGTACACAATTCAGGCCAGGCTGAATTGTACACTGATTACAGGCTCATACTTGTAATACCAGCACTTTGGGAGGCTGAAGCAGGCGAATCACTTGAGGTCAGGAGTTTTAGACTAGGCTGGCCAACGTAATGAAACCTCATGTCTACAAAAAAAATACAAAAATTAGCCAGGCCTGGTGGCACACACCTGTGATCCCAGCTACTAGAGAGGCTGAGGCACAATAATTGCTTGAACCTGGGAGGCAGAGGTTGCAGTAAGCTGAGATCATGGGCGAAAGAGCAAGACTGTCTAAAAAAAAAGTATACTTTAATCAGGATATGTTCATAATTTTGTGCAACCTTTACTACTATCTAGTTCTGGAACATTTTTATCACTTCAAAAGGAAATTCCGTACCCTTTATTCAGTCACCCCCTTTTTCCCCTTTCCCCCAGTCCCTGGCAACCACTAATTTGCTTTCTCTATGGGTTCACCTGTCCTGGACATCTCATATAAATGGAGTCACACAATATATGGCCATTTGCATCTGACTTCTTTTGCTGAGCATAATGTTTTTAAGGTTCATCCACGTTAGCCTGCATCAGTACTTCATTCCTTTTTCACACTGGACAGTATTCCCATGCATGCATTTACCACATTTTGTTTCTCCATCCACCTGTTGATGAACACTATTTAGATCATTTTCACCTTTGGCTGCTGTGATAAAGCTGCTGTGAACATCTGGATCCATGTATCTGTTTGAGTTCCTGCTTTCAAGTCTTTTGGGTGTATATGGAGTGGAATTGCCAGGTCATATGGTAAGTCTATGTTTAACCACCAAACTCTTTTCCACGATGATGCACCATTTTTCATTCCTGCCAGCAACATACACGTGTTCCAACTTCTCCACATCCTCACCAACATTTATGTTCCATTAAAAACTTATGTCCATTCTAGTCAATGTGAGGTGGTATTTAATTACAATTTTCACTGGCATTTTCCTAATGACTATTGATATTGAGCATCTTTTATGTGCTTTTTGGCTGTTTGTATATCTTCTTTAGAAAAATATCTATTCAGGTCCTTTGCCCATTTAAAATATTAGGTTGTCTTTTGTTACTGAATTGTTAGAGTTCCTTATATATTCCTGACACTAGACTCTTATCAGATACATGACTTTTAAATATTTTTTCTCATTCTCTGGTCTGTTTTTTCACTTTCATGATAGTATCTTTTGATGTAACAATGTTTTACATTTTTGTTTTTGTGAGGTAAGATCTGGCTGTATCACCCAGGCTGCAGTGCAATGGCATGATCTCAGCTCACTGCAATCTCCGCCTCCCAGGCTCAAGCCATCCTCCTGCCTCAGTCTCCCAAGTAGCTGGGACTACAGCCATACACCACCATGCCCAGTTAATTTTTGTATTTTTTTTTGTAGAGATGGCATCTAATAAAAGCTAACTAGATCTTTGAAACTCAATTGGTAGAAATTTTGTTCTTTGATAATCTGACCTTTATTAAGAAAATATTTTTTTTTACTCTTTCTTACTTTTAACTGGTCGTTTGCCTCTCAATTCTTAAGGCTCCTCTCCTCTAGTAACATTTCTCCCACTCCATGACAGCCACCCACTTTCATTGGTATTTCCTTATCATCAGTAACTCCACTCTCTGTAATCATAGTTACAGAAACTCCAGGCTCCAACCACCACCTCATATGTCATTAGGGAATTGCAAACTTAAAAAATAAGGTATCACTACACACCTATTAGGATGGCAGAAATCCAAAACACTGACAACACCAAATGCTGGTGAAGATGTGGAGCCACAGGAACTCTTCTTCATTGTTGGTGACAATGCAAAATAGTGCAACTACTTTGGAAGGACAATTTAACAGTTTCGTACATAGCTAACATAGTTCTATGATATGACCCAGCAATTACACTCCTAAGTATTTGCCCAAATGAGT